TCGCCAGCCACACCGACGACCGATGACCGGCCACAAGCGAGGGACGAGCTCACCAGCCTCTGGCAATGCTCAAGTGTTGCTGATCTACGAGGCAGGAGTGTTGCCGCCCTCTAATGACACTCATGCATTGTTGATCAGGCGAGGCCAAAGCCTCGCTAGGCAGTGACACTTGAGCCTTGCTAGCCTCTGGTGATGCTTGAGCCTTGTCGGCTTGTGGCGAGGCTCAAGCTCCCTTGCGGCCGATTGAAGAAAACAAATAATTAAAAATTATAATTTAATAAATATAAAAAGTAAATAAAAAGAAAATATTAAATTAAATTAATTAAAATGAATGGTGAAAGAAAGAAGAGGGAAAATGATTTCCTCTCCCACTTTTGAAGGTGGTTTTTCGAATGGGGTGGAAATTTTTTGCTTAACTTATTTATTTTCCATGAACCGAACACTAGAAAATCAAGAAAATATTTTTCTGGAAGTTATTTTTGACTAAACGAACGGAGCCTAACTATCTAAAATGATGTTGATACCAGAATTTTTCGTCCCAAAGATCACCATTCACATTTTAGAAATTAGGGATTAAATTCGTCATCGTTGTTGAAATCCGAGCATCTCTCAAGCATTAAATTAAGTAGGTTAAAAGCTGATAGGCCGAGACAGGGCCTAGCCGAGGACAATCCACAGCATAGGCTCAGCCCATGGCCGATCACGTAAAGTTCATTTAAGCCTCCATTTTGTTACCCTTTGTCTAATTAGGGCATGGAATCATACCTTTTTTGAAGGATTGTATTCCGAATTTATGGCTTATTGCTTTTGGTATCAAAGTACCTCGTCGCCCTTGGAAACATAGTATCGCTCTAGGCAAATGCGACGGAGTAAATGCGACAAACGATTATGACCAAAAGAATCTCATTGCCTTTACCTAAGGCATTAGAAATTTTTTTTCGCTTTAGTGGTTGAGCAATCGTTGAAAGGACTCGATTGCACCAGATCGAAATATCTAGGAATTTACTGCTCATTCGACAAAATGTTTAACGCTGTTGGTGCAATTTTCTCTTTCACTCGAAAAAATGTATATTTTATTTTCACCTAATTTTAAATTATCCGGGTAATTTATTTTAATAGATTATATGCCATTATGATATGCATTTCTTTTCAAAATTACTTGTAATTAACCCGCGTGTAATATAATCCTTTTGAAAAATGTACCCGAGGCAGAGTAGTGGCCCATAGGTCCTCGCACAATGTTAGAATTCTAGCTCTCTAGAGTGATATCTTACTGAATCTTACCGATGGCTCGGGCCCCTCTGAGGCAACATTAACACCTGATATGTACTAAAAAAGTACAAGGAAATTAATGAATTTAAAAGTTGACCAATAAAAGAGTACCGAAAGAATTTCGTGGGATGCTAGTCTTTACCATCATAAGCGGACCCTCGAACTAAAGGACACTAGATTTCGTGCAAAATTGACCAGTAGTTCAAATTGAACTAGGTCGTTAGATATCTTTCCCTAATTGATAGGATATAGGTTCCTGACTGACCTAAGTAGATCAATGGCAACTGTAGAAGTACATTAAAGAACGCATCACTTTAGTAGATTACGAAAATCTAGAATGTAGAAGATTTTAGGAACCTGAGATGCTATAGATTGATCTTAGGATAGATTAAACTTAGGTTCACAAAATAATTGGTGCTACAAACAATCATACGAAATGTTGATGCTACCATATCTTGTAGAATGATTTTAGTTTGTTAGGGAAAAAGCATTGCATGCACATATCCCTTTTGTTGCATGTCGGGTATAAGAGATTTGAGTGTCGTTAGAGATTGTGAGATTTAAAAAGCACTTTGATGTACATTTTCGACAACGTGATTTTTTAAATTGAATTGAATTACGATTTTAATGACCGACACTATATCGAGTGAACTCATGTCCCTCGCGGAAGCCAATCTAAACGAAGTAGGTTTGGCAAGCAATGCCTCCTTTAATTTGACTATCTCGATTTAACTAACGTGTTCTTAATTACACATGCCTTTTGCGGCCCCACTATTCACGTAGTAGATTTTTAGAGCTACTTATTATCCATAGATTTACCACATTGCTTCATTACTAATTTTATTCGCCAATTTTCGTAAGTCTGTCATTGGTCAGTTAGGGCGCAAATGAGAATCATTTTTTTTCTCTTTTTTCTATTCTCGGGAACAGGTTTGGAATGGAAGTCCGTTTGGTAATGCAATTTGATTTTTCTATTTCTAGAACACATTTTTATTCCAAAATTAGGTTTGGAACAAAAATGAGAAGTAAAAATTTTATACTTTTCTATATCTGGAAGAAAGAGAGAAATAAAAACTTTTTTCATAACTCGTCCTTGCCTCTCGCTGCCTACTGTCGCCCCTCGCCGACCGGTCGCCCCTCGCCGATCGCCGCCTCTTGTTAGCCGCTGCCCGTTGATGAATGGAAAAGAGCATAAGAGAAAGCAATTTTGTGTCGTTATCAAACGTGTATTTCTATTCAAAAACTCGTCAAAGAAATTCAAAAAATTTATTATAAAAATAGAAGGATTATCATTTGCACCGTTAATTATCAAAAGGATATGAAATTGAATTTCTGTTCAATCATTTCCTTCGGGCTAAGCATATACTTTTCTTTTTTATTATTATTTTATTTATTTTTGGTCCTTCTCCATGGGTAGGAAGCCAAATCACGGGTGACATCATTTTCAAATTGGAACAGTTCATGATTTGACGTGACCATTTGCATCACCACCTACAAATGTCCACCATGAAAATTCCAGAAGGCAATTATGATCTTGTTTAAGCCAATCAGAAATTAAAGGTGGTCAAAGTCCGTCAAATTGTAATTGGGATGGTTTGTTTTGTCTTTCCTTCCTCCTTTTACGAGGAGAACCGGAGAAAGGGATGGCAGATTAAAAGCATTATTTTATATGTTTTTTTTTATAATAAATATGTATTTTATATGTTGTGAAACCCATTTGCCCAGTGGTCATCCGGTCCTGATTTTGAGTAGGACCTTAAAAGGCTCAAGGGAAGACAAAGAAATGAATTCTTCGATACGATGGAGTGATCTCCTTGAAAGTTCTTTTCGTATCCTCACTCTCCAAGGAAGAAAAAGATTTGAAGAGAACTTAAGAACTTCTTGGGTGATGAAGGTAGACATCACGTTAGCTTCGGCTGGCTATTACTGGATAGACAAGTATAATAACCTCTTATGTCTGGGATGATAAGAGGGGAAGTCTCGACTTCCTGCAGATTAGTCTGTGCTTCGTACAGTGTCTCTCAACTGACGCGCTAACCAATACCCCGGTTTAGAGACACTGTGCATATTGAAGTGACTTTTTATATTTAATTTTTTTATTTACTTTTTTTTGCAGATTTTTTGCAATTCTCACAATTTGACTCTGTATGAACACGAAATACCTGCCATCTTTCAAAATGTACTAAACACGACCGATGTATTTATGTATATTTATCTTTACATATATTTAAAATTTAAGTATTATTTTAGATTCTGTTTATTTTACGGAAAATAAATCATATTTCTAAAAACAATCGCTTGAAAAAATACTTTCATTATCGACAATAATCTATATCCAAATATTTTCATGGACGATAATTTTTATTTTCATTTATTCACTTTTATAAGAAATACATGCAGTCATTTTTAGGAAAATATTTTTTAAATAATTCATTTTCGCAAAATGACAAATACTTAAATTTGAACAGAAAGTAGAAAGAATTTGAAACATGCAAGACTACGTCAGTGCAGGTGATTCAAGTTTATTATCTAGTTGATGGTTATTTGTTAGGCTAAGTTAGAGGGATCTAATAGTTTACTGAGAGAGAGATCCTTTATGTACTTAATATATGTATTTGCCAAATTTTATATGATAAGTACTGCTACTGTAAGTGAATATAATGATAATAACTTCGTATCGGGCTTCACTAGCCATTCAGATATCTCAACTATATCGCCACGTCATTTTATAAGAAACTTTGGTAAGAATTTTAATACCCCTAACTTGCTGAAAGTCTTAAAATTTTAAAGAAGTTGCTATATCACTAAACAATGTCTCAAAATCTAATATATATTTTTTGGTCAATTCAAAATCTAATATATTAAATATCAAATGTGAAAAAAGTTGATAGATGCGAAATCCCTTCATACTTTTTCAAGCACCTTATGGCAAAAAAAGAACCCAGTAACGTTTCTTTATGTTTTCCTGATAAAGTTTGCGCCATGCTCATACATGAAAAGTAAAACACCATATTTCCTTTTCAAAGCAAAACGCTTGAAAATATTTTAGAGCGTTCGGATATTAGAAATCCCAAAAGTGGGACGGAATTGGAATGGACGCATCCTCAAGTATACAACTAGTCGCACCGTAACTTTTGATCCAAGGGAATCGCGGTGCCTTCGACATCCATACAAACAACTCTTTCTGAGTGCTATATGACCCATAAAAAAAGGTTCGTCTGAGTTTACCAACTCATATAAACAGATCAAGAAAACATGTTATGAAACTTTTTTACTATATTTTGCGAAGCTTAGTGTTTTGATGTCAGTGTGACGAACCAAGTACAACGATGCGCATACATGGAATGCAACTACACGGGCATCATCGTGCAGCCAACGCATAAAATATTTTCTCTCTCTCGAGCTTGATTTATTTGGGTGATCTGAAGTTAGAGCATCACATTTTGCAGGTGTTGCACAAATATGTTGAGCATTATCCCCTAGAGGCAATAATGGCTGGGGACCCCCCAAGCCAAGACTTGATTAGGCCCAAGTTACTCGAAGTGCAAAACTGGGTATTGCCCTCTAGCCAAATTCACTTTAGTATGTCGAATTTTAGATACCAATAAATTTTTGGACCCTACTCAGATCTATAAGTACGAGTTCGATAAAACCACGTAAATAAATATATATGTATAGAAAAAGTATGAAACAGTGACCCTATAGCTGTCTACATCCTCCGTTCTTTACCCCGGTGGGTGATATCATTTATTCTCTCCCTCACCTTCGAACAGTATCAAGAACACAGACATGCACAGCTCGTAGCAGTAACGCGAAGCGAAGTTCATTTGAGCCTCTGCCTCTGCCTCTGCTTGGTCGGAGGAGGCCATGGCTGTGGGCGGCAGAAGGAAGATGATGGCCTTCATGGCCGTCGTCGTGATGCTCATCTCGAGGCTGAGCGCTACGTCCAGTGACGTTCAAGAAGCAGCAACGGCGGCGGAAGAAGAAGAAGAGGCCGACCGCATAGCGTCTCTTCCCGGGCAACCGAAGGTCCCGTTCCGGCAATTCTCGGGGTACGTCACCGTCCACCGAGCCGCCGGTCGAGCCCTCTTCTACTGGCTCACCGAAGCCTACTCCGATCCCGCTTCCAAGCCTCTCGTCGTCTGGCTCAATGGAGGTCTCTTCTCTCTCTCTCTCTCTCTCTCTCTCTCTCTCTCTCTCTCTCTTCACTGTTGGATTGCATGGCACATCGTTTTGTCTTCTTGTCCTTTTCTCCAACTGTTGTCAGCTGGAACTGGAACTGGGAGTGACTTCTTTTAGCTTGTGAGATTCCATTTTTCTTCCTCAAGTTTCTCCATGAAACCCACACCCAAACAAGAAAGAAAAGAAGTAGAGTCCTCCATATCTTGGCAAATCATTGATTAAGCGAGAAGGCATATCTCTCTTTTCCCCCTTCATCATTTCAATTCTTCTACTTTCGAACACTATGACTTGCAAACTACAAGAACGACATGCAAGTCAAAAAGAAAAGAGAAAGAACACTCTCGTGTGCTGTGCATCGGCCAAAACTGATGATGTTTTCAACCTTTTTTGTCTTTGAGGGGGGTGGGTATGGCATTGGCATGTACTGAAGTAAAAGAGGCCATACATGACCTAACTACCTATCATGTAAAAGGAAACCCATTACGTGCAGAGAACCTCTCTCTCTCTCTCTCTCTCTCTCTCTCTGTCCCGCCTTTCTTACTGGTCTCACGCAAGGCAGAAGCTGCAGTGAGAGTTTCACAGAAGAAATTCAATGCTTGAAAGCGACCATAAACAGCCTCAGCTTTTATTACTTCCATTCACACACACACACACACACAACCCCTCTCATCATCTCATCATTAATTGCTCTCTCTCTCTCTCTCTCTCTCTCTCTCTCATGTGAGCAGGGCTTTGTCAGCGAGTTTTGATGCCCCCCATCAATGTCTATACGGCTACACAATTTTCAAATCTGCGTGTGCTAGGAAACCCTTGAAACTCACTCCACTATTTAATGGCTTGGAACTCACCGAATTCCTACCTTTGTTCCCAATACCATCTCTTATCTTCTCAGTACTGCTGCCCATGGCTCTTTTTAAGCTATAGTAAAGAGAAAAAGATTGAATTTTTAAGGTATCAACTACACACATCATCTGAAGAAACTGATATTCTGAAAATTGAATTATGATAAATTTCCAAAGACACTAGTTAGAGCCTCTCTCTCTCTCTCTCTGAATGTGTTTTGTGGACTGTCGTCACTTAGCTATGGAGGTTCGTGATGTTGACTAGACAAGTCACTTTAATACAACAGCATTAATCATCACGTGGCCGGGCCATAACCCATCATTGTGTTTCTAATTTTAGGAATATGTAATGTTAAACCAGGGCAACAAGTTGATAAATGCTTAGGAGATGAAAAGAAGACTATTCTCGAGAAGAGATTAGGGGGGTTCACTTAATAATGATACTCTTTCTTGTGCATGTCCGTCTTAGTTTAGCAAGTACAGTACTTCTAGTTTTACCGTACTCAGGATATACTGTGCAACGTCATGACATGTCGCCGTAGTTAAATTCAAAAACATCTCGACACGTCGTAAAATTGATTGCTAGTTAACTGCTCTTGCTCGACTTGGACTGACAGGATGCACACATTTATTGATCCTCTTAACGGATAGAGATGAGATTGGATGAACCAAAGCTTATATGTGTGTGTGTGTGTGTGTGTTGTCATGCATACATGTATACATATACTTTTGGACCTTTGGTATTCTCCTTCATTTTGGAAATTATCTTGATTCATCCGGCAATTGCATAGTGTTATGTGATATTACTCCTAATTGATGTTGAAAGCATTAACTTCGTTTGTGCAAGAACTAGTTCTGCTCCACCCAATTCGTCCCCCTACCGAAAAATATCCAGAGATGAACTGGACCTATCTTTGCTCAGTGAATACTGACTATAAGCACACTATACAAATATCTTCTCAAAAAACGAAAAATGTATGTCTGGAAAGAGATTGTTGCATTTGATGAGCGTGATTTGTCGAATCCATGGGGCTTTTCATGTGTATTTTACTTATGGATAGTTGCAAAGTTTGTACCCACGTATCGAATACCATCCCGCTTTAGAAACCTACAACCTGTATATTGAGTTTTGCCACTTTCATGTCGAATTGCATTCTCACAAATTCTGACATATAATTCTACCCTCCACCTTCTCTCTCCTACCGCATCATCGGCTTGCCGCCACTCTTGGCCGGGCCCCTGCTGTAGGGTTTGGACGGAAATGTGTCCTTTTGGGTTTGAAAGATATGTCAAACTGAAGATTTTTTTTGAAGTGAGGATGGTTTTTGATACATGGTGCAAACTTCAAGGTAGTTTTTGCAATTTTCCCTGAATAAATGATTTGGCGACATAACTATAACGGAATCGGCTTTCTAGTATATGAACAAGACGAGGCATACGTAGATATAAAGATTATGAATTGGATTGCTTATGCAATGTGTTTGATATGTTGGGACAACCACACAGGTCCTGGTTGCTCGTCAGTGGCATACGGCGCATCCGAGGAGATCGGGCCGTTCCGGATAAACAAGACGGCCTCAGGTTTGTACCTCAACAAGTTCTCGTGGAACACCGAGGCCAACCTCCTCTTCTTGGAAACTCCTGCCGGCGTCGGCTTCTCCTACAGCAACCACTCCTCGGATCTCCTTGACACTGGTGACCGCCGCACCGGTACGGCCACTCCCTTCATTTCCCCCATTTCCTAATTAACCCGGCTCGATAATTCGTTAACAAAAACACGCGCATTATCTGAATCAATTGTGTCTTTTGGCATAATGATGATGGAGAGGAGACGGGCAGAACTCGGGTAGGACCCGAATTTTGGAGGGTAGCGGGTTAGCTAGTAACAGGGTCAGTGATTGGTGGGTCCAAAATGGAACGTTGACTCTACTTTTTAGCATTGGCCCAATTGCATTCTAGTTCACCTCATACCAATTTAAGACCTAAGGGGGCTTCATTTATAAAAAAATCATTGTGGATTTGATAGAACTTCTGGTCGGGTCCACATTCGACCCGGTTCCATTATCGATCCAGCACCTCTCTTTGTGGGCATGAATGATTGCAATTGAAAAAGGAAAGAGAAGGTAACAATTAGCTACTTCTTTGTTAAAGGGGGGTAATTCGAGATGAGAAATCGATGGAGGAGATCTTTGGTTTCGCGAAATTCTGGATATTTCTCGTTAGGGTGATAAAATTTCTTTAAATATGTTTTTGTTTTTTGTAATTTTTATGTGGGTGAAATGTGTTTGGGCAGCTGAGGAATCATTGGAGTTCTTGGTGAGATGGATGGAGAGATTTCCAAGGTACAAAGGGAGGGAGGTGTACTTGACGGGGGAGAGCTACGCGGGCCATTACGTTCCTCAGCTGGCCCAACAGATTATGGCCCATAATTTGAAGCCCAAACACTCCACCATCAATATCAGGGGCATTATGGTACTTTCCCAATCCCATCATTAGCAAACATTTCCTGTTTTTGAGTTCATTCTTCCATTGGAAAAGGGTCATTTTTTCTGCTTTGGATGGAGAAGGTCTAGCAGAAAATTGATTGATCAATTGAGGGGCCATAAAGTTTTCATGACTCAGTCCTAATTACGAAATTATTACCGTTCGTTATTTTTTGCGAGTGAAAGTAATTTTGAGAATTGCAGGTAGGGAATGCAGTGACAGATAACTACTACGATAACATGGGGACGGTGATGTACTGGTGGAGCCACGCGATGATATCTGACCGGACGTACAAGCAGCTGATGAGCACGTGCGACTTCCGCCGGCAGAAGGAGTCGAACGAGTGCGAGTCGCTCTACTCCTACGCCATGGACCAAGAGTTTGGCAACATCGACCAGTATAATATCTATGCTCCCCCTTGCAACTCCTCCGACGGGTCCGCCGCCACCATGCGACAGTCCATTCGTCTCCCTCACCGCCCCCATCACAACAAGGTGCCCCCCCTTCCCTTCACTCGTGTGTTGTTTCGTTTGCCATGCACAATTGTGATTGATAATTTGTTCAGAGCATTGAAAGTTGCAAAATAATATATTAATTTTGCTTAACAAGTTCCGGTAAGCCCTCATGGTCAGCCCAGTTGTTTGGAAAGCGTCGGAATTTCCCGCTTTGAAACCGGAGGAAACAAGTTCAAACCGCACCAATTTTGTGCAAATAATTCAGATCTAGGCCACTTGCATAGGTCAAAGGCATGAATTTAACTGATTCACGCAGCTTACATTATGTTTTATCAGCTTTCAGATAGTCGAGTCTCTGTGTTCGTACTCTTGGATTGTCCAAAGACTGTCCAAAGATGTAAACAAGTGTTACTTAGCAATGTTTAACATAATCCTTAGTATATGTCTAGAGAACCAATATCTTCATATGTGTACTGTCATATACATAAATAAAAATTAAATTTATAGCACTAATTATGAATTTGATTATAAATTATTCTTATATTTAAGTTACATTTATCAATCATTCAAATTCAAACTATAAATGATAATTACTAATTATAAATGAAAATTCAATATATCATGATTTTATCACAATCAATCAACTAATTTGTACATCTACTTTTTCATTCAAAACAGAAATGGAATTATGATTCCTCCATCCATTCTATTACGGTCAATCTATTTTGAAATGTCCATTCCAGTCTCATGTTTTAACCAAAGGAAAAAAGTCCTTTTTGTACCAAAAATGGGTATAAAGAAATGGGCATACCATAAAATGCCCATTCACTTTTCATTTTACAATAAATTTGAAATAGTTTTCTTATACTATCACATAATTGCACAGTACTATAATAAGGCATGATTCAAATAAATGAAATTGAAAATCCTATGTGAAATTTATCGAATCATTATTCTTACAAACAAACATATCAAGTGTGTACCTGCGTATGTTGTTGCGTGGATGCTGTGTGTACTCGCAATGACATATGAAGCTTGTTTTCCTTCTCAATTCACGTGTCTGTTCTGTATCTGTTCCAACATTATTGTATACAACAGTAATAATGTAGTACTGCTAGTTCTATCACTGCACACTGCAGAAATTGCTGAATTTTTCTTTTCCTTTTACCCATTTTGGAATATTCCTAATTCATTATTTTCTGTGGTCCTGAGGTCTAAAATTAAGTATTTTTTACCCCTTTTTATCTATGGAAAAAAAAAAGATTTTGAGGCAGATATCTGGATACGATCCCTGTACAGAGAAATATGCAGAGACATACTACAACAGGCCTGATGTGCAGAGAGCGCTCCATGCCAACACCACCAAGATTCCCTACAAGTGGACTGCTTGCAGGTTCAATTTGAATTGCAGCTGTTTTTGCTCCTTTTGAACAAAACAAAGCATAATGACGTGATTGATTGTCAATTTGTCATAGTCCAAATGGAGAATTGTGACAATGTGTTCTGTTTCTGATGGCAGTGAAGTGTTGAACCGAAACTGGAACGACACCGAGGTGTCGATTCTGCCCATCTACAGGGAGATGATTGCTCGTGGCCTCCGAGTGTGGGTCTTCAGGTTGGCCGGTTTATCTCTTCTTCGTCAACGCGTATTCATGCATCATTTCTTGTAAATTTCAAGTTGACATTTCCCTTTGCCCCCTTGAAAAAACGAAAATGATCGCAGTGGCGATGTGGACTCGGTTGTACCCGTTACAGCCACGAGATACTCACTCGCACAGCTCAAGCTGGCAACCAAAATCCCGTGGTACCCTTGGTATGTCAAGAAACAGGTCGGTGTCACCCTTTACTTACGAAGAGAAATACTGCATGTACGAAATGTTTGATGAAGACCCATATGCTGTATGATTGATATTTGTCCATGAGACCGATCGATTTAGGTACTGATGTGGTCATGTAGGTGGGAGGGTGGACAGAGGTATATGAAGGGCTAACGTTTGCGACGGTGAGAGGAGCTGGTCATGAAGTCCCTCTGTTCAAGCCCAGAGCCGCTCTTCAGCTTTTCAAGTCCTTCTTAAGAGGAAAGCCCCTCCCAAAGTCATGAACTGAGTGTTGTCAGTTGACTTGCTGCCACTTTTTATTTGCTAGTTACAAGGGAAAAACCAACCAGAGAGAAAGTTGATTATTCATTGTGGTCATTACCAAAATGGAAGATTTCATCTGTCTGTGTCGTTTCTTCTTCCTGTTAGCACATCAGTCTGACCCTAATCCCTCTTTTATTCCTTATCTATAAACTATTTTGCCAAGTAACTGAATGCTCACTTATTATACAACGGTGGCATCAAAACCCAGATCACAACAAGACTCGTTAACTAAAATTACTGTCATCTAAGAGGTATAGCTGTCACATTTCGCAATAGGTACCTTCATCTCAGATCCGGCGACCGCTGTTTGATACGGTTCAGCTTTCCCTTGTATGGTGCCCAAGTATTTTTCAGTCTATCATATGAATGAATCGTGCTAGTCGCTTTGACAATGCAAATACCCCCGAGATTTGCCGCGTATAAACTTTTCAACATCATCGCCCAAACCAATTTCCAAGTTGACGGTGACCTCCCAAACACATAACTGTGTCACCAAGTAAATTCAGAATGAAGATGAACAAAGGACCGCAAATCATATTATTGGCAGACAGAATGACAATTGAAGAAACCATATCCCCAATTCCAAGAGCCAAGCAAGTCATAAAAACTAATGTACATGTAAAAATCCCCATGCCGTCTGGAAACTAACAAAACCATTTCTAACCTCAACGAAACTCAGCCACCAAGACGACTGGGCAGCAAGCACGACTCGGGTCAGAAGCTGGCAACATTCCTGTTCCTCCGAAAATGAGTTGGCACCACCATCAGTTCAAAGAAAACTTCTGTCACAACCTGCTTGCCATTACAGGATACACATGGAGTAGCAACATGGTCAATCCATCCATTTAACTGTTGAAGACGTACAAATCACACAGCCCAAAATGGTTTTTGAGTTGTCACTGTAGTCGAATTGCTGCCAAGTGATTCTTCGCTGCTTTCGTCGGGGTCATCATCTTCATCCCCGTATTCCATCAATTTGACCAGAGTATCTGCAGACAACAATGTCAAAACCACGTGGGATAGACTAAATTAAAGTAGAACTAATCCAAACGGAAAATTAAAAGTCAACAACTTTAACATGGGGGAAGCAATGAGGAAATTCATCCTTTTTTTATCTTTCTGAAAGCAAAACCATCAAAATCTACAATCAAATCAGGGGTCCAGGATGAAACTACTAATTTTGTAGCCTACCAGGTATAATCTCAGATCTTGATTTGTCCAAACTCCCTGCCTTATCATTTACTTCCAGACTAGATTTAGGTGCAGTAAATTTTGGAGGGAGTGGGGGCATGCTTTTTGGTGGAGGCGGTGGCATTGCGTTTGATAATGGCAGTACTAACTTCTTTGGAGGTGGCATGGTCGATATTTTTCTTGAACCCATGTCTAACTCTGGCTCACTCAGCTTTAAACATGCTGATTCCTGCGAAAAGGCATGAAAAAAATGGCAACATTAGCTCGGACAGAGTAATGAACTTCTCTTGAACTTCTATACCACCGGTCCCTGAACTTCATCCCTCACCTGTGTGTGTTACTGCCGCATGCATACGCTACTCAAACACAATTAACCATCACAAGGTACCCTCTAAATACACTATTTGTGCTCAGTCTCTAGCCGTATCGACGCAAGCACTAACCCAAGGAAAAAGAATCCATAAATTAGAATAGCAACCTAAGGAAAAATGTACTTAGCCAGCTGCTCTCGCATATTCTAATCTGCATCCAGATGCCAATTTCTACCGGGACCATCTAGTCTGAGCTTCCTTGCTGATTCTATGAACCAGCGGCAGCCAACAGTGCTCTCAGCTTATACAAGATTTATAGCTTCACATGGCTAGCATTAATCAGCAGTGACAAATAGCTCTCCCTTCAAAGATCAACTTAAAAGGGGATGATCTAGTACTAGCTACCAAGATGTTGTAGCTTAAAGAAGAGCTAAAACAGAACAGCAAGACAGAAGGTTCTCCAAGTGATTTCTTTAATCAACTCGTCTCTGCTATTCTATTTAAGCAAGAAAAATGCTCTCCACCAGCATTTCAACAGGTTAATTGCTTGTCAAAAAAAGGTCCTTTCTACAAAGCTGTGCGAAACCGAGTGTCATTGACTTGCGGAAGCTAAAATATCAATAAGGTAGCAAAACATGAAATGCATTTCATGAAAAGGTGCAATGAATGAAGGAGATCAGTTCCAGGCTGGAAATCAGTTTGCAGCTGTCCATTGAACTCTCCAAAAGTAAATACCCTGTGACACATAAATCCACTGTTCCTACAACAGGAGTCCAGTATCTGGCAGTTAGCTTCATAGAAGGTCAGAGAAAATACCTGGAATATCAAACATTAAAAGTCAGAGGAAAAAAATATATAGATCAGTAAGCAAAAACCCATAGCGCCGCAAGTAAACTCAAAGTGATGAATAACCATCAGCAGAATAACCTGTGCATATAAAAGTAAAAGCAAAAGCATATGGAATGAGGACAAGCATAAGCACATTATCAATGATCTGAACCCTCCTTACCCATGGCAGTTCAAACCGTCCATCCATGCAACAAAGTCACGCTTATGAACATCAAGTGAAAAAATCTCCTTATAATTACACACAAAGAGGACCCCCATCTATTATATAAGGGTTTAAGCTCAGTTTTTGTATTCAATTGAATTCACATCAAGCTGATTTTACCCCATTTTCCCACATGATTTGGTTTAGAAATTTCAAGGCACTAATCTATACACGGAAGAGTCCATAATGGCATCTAGTATCTTCACAGCAAAAAGCAGTCTCAAGAATCCGCTCGTACCTGATAATTTGGTGCTGGATCCTTATTACCGACTGGCAGCTCCTGAAACTTCCGCCTCGGTGGAGGCCTCTTCTCTTTCTCAAAATCAGGCTTAGAACTCAGCTCAGACATCATGCTTACCAATGCTGGTGCAGAGGCAACGGAAGACGTGACAGAAGTTGACTGTTTAAGAACCAACGCAACTTGTTGCATAGGTGTGGCTTGAGGATATATTCCTTCATATCCACTATATCTCGTTCCACCAGTTACCAAAGGCTGGGAATGGTGGACCATGTTTGGTTGAGTCTGAATGCAACCTAGCACTCCCCCAGACATTGACACTGCCCCTTGAGTGAAAACAGAACTTACCCCATGGACCATTGGTGACGAAAGGGGTGGAGATGTAGTAAAGCCACTAGTAGATGTCAAACCAGTAGCTGGATTTGTACTTTCTGTTACCTCACTTCTAGAACTGTTTGATCCCACCACCAACTGCTGAGGAGGAGGAACAGCACCATACACTTTAGAGGATGATACCCTGTGCGAAATTAGAGCCAAAATGGTCACCGTGATCAATCAAACTGTATATTACAACATAGTGTCAGGAATAAGAAATTGGTTCCATAAAGGTCCAGATAAAAAATGTTTTTCAATTTAGAAAAGGGAGGTGGATAGATCGAAGGTTAAAGCAACATGCAGCATGAAAAAGAATTTTTGCCGTGAGTGACAGCTGGTTAACATATCTAGCTTTTTAGGTTACAAAGGAAGAAGGCAGTCTATAATTCTCATGACAAAAAAGGGGGAGAAATTTAAAGCTACTGGAAATGCACTTTTTAATTGACTAATGTTTGTCAACGAGGATATCTCTAACACATTTGGGAGCAAAAATATGGTGAATACTCATTTATATCTGTATAATAAAAAAGAAAAGAAAAGGAAAGGAAGAATTAAAATAACACATGGTAGAACACAAATGAAGTGTAGCAACAAGAAAAGAAGTTCTTCTGAGTAGTTCTTTCATTATTTGGAAGAAATAAAGCAAAGAAAGGGTAGAGGTAGCACCAATTGGCAGCAAATATTGGTCTATGTCAAAGCAAATTCAATGCAGATTTTACAATTTGGTGATACAACACATATCATTGAATGCAGCATTCAGAAGAAGCATGACAACTACTAAGACACATGCTAAAGAATGAAATAAAATCAGCTAAAAATACTTAAATAAGCAACACGGCCATAAAGTGAAGATTATCCAATAAATACAGCATAAGTCACCAACTAACAAATCCTTTAACGTTCCGAATCAATTGATGCAAACAAGCTCAAGAAAAGGAACAAATGCTCTCATTGACTCTATCATATGTAGAACATCCAAGCTCAAGGAATGTCAGGATACTCTAATTCCAGCATGATCAGACCACTTTTTACCTGGAGGCACCACATTCTAAACTGATTGTATCCAGAAGATTTTCAGCTAGACTCTTCGCACTTTCAAGGCTCTTTGCGTTATTACTGGACAAGAATAAATGCAATGGCTGCTGTCCTTCTGCAAGTAGTTAGGAAGGGTGTCACTGACAAAAACACAATCACAACAAAATGTTGAATCATGACCCATATAGTAGACAATGCTACCTTCTCCATGCAAGCTTTCAGAAGTAACAGAACCACGCCCTCTTAGTAAGACAGTCGCTCCTGTTTCATTCATAATGTGATTTATATATTGGTCCTGCAAATACAAACGAACCACCACCAGCACAAAAACAATCTCTCCCATTTGCATGGAGAAGTCAGAGAAAGCTTCAGACATTAGAATCTTTCATCATCATAATATTCAGTGTAAACTTTAAATCAAAAGATAAAAATATAATAAACCAGAGCAAAGAGCAATTAAGCACATTAGCAACAAGACAATGCAGTGGTCTACTCTGGAAAGGCAACACTACAGGTCAAAATGCTACTACAATGATGCCAACATTTACCAGACCTAAACATGAATCCACAACTATCACTATTCTATTGTACCCTTAATTTACTTGATATCCTTTTAGTTGTAAAGATTGTTCGCTTTTTCCTCTTGGGCTTTCCTGCCTACATTTGCCCGCTAATGAAAATCATCACAGTTACGACTTCCAAACACTAAATTCAAGCTAAAGCTAAAACCAAAGACCCATAGAAGTTAAGAAGCCACAGCCCGTAGCCTTCTAAGAAAGCTCATAATAATATACACGTGTACAAGGTACTTTCGGGCCTCAAACTTAGCTCGATTACATGATCCGAACAATCTATTCAGGACAAGTTTATTTCTTACTGAGTTGTTTTGCGAAAGTTGAGATTAAGCATGAAAGATAAACTTCCTTCAGGCTCAAATAGAATAAACATCGAGCAATGCGTTCTTGAATGAAGTATAATTTAAGTGTTTTGATACAATTGTAACTCAAACGCTCCTTCCAAAGCCAACTCAATGTGGTGACAGAAAAGAGAAGCTAGAATGGAACAGAAAGTTAATTTGGACTCACATTTGGTCCACGAATGCGGGAAGCAATGTTCCATGATGGGTCCACGTCAAACCCCAAATACACGCATGTGCTCAAAGCTTGAGAAATCTAAATCAGATAGGGAGTTCATATATTCATGGATCATGGAAATAATGTAGCAGAAGACAACAGGGAGATGATACAATAGATTACCACCTTAACTCCCTTGTCAGGATAGAAGACAGGCTGCGAATTTTGACCCTGTTTCAGCATCTCTTCAATCATGGCCGCTGCACGATCAACAGCTATAATTCGTTCAACAGTCTCTTTCAACTGTAAGGAGTCAATTTTGGTTAACACAAAGCAGAACTTGACATGCAAAAACAGAAAGCCTTACAGAAAAGTGAACAATAGGACAGAAGCAAATACATAACCTAGAAGCTAATTATTTTGACAAGCTACAGATTAACCATGCATTGCCACACTAAAGTTCAACAATTCTTCCTGGCACTTCTCATTGGACGATTGTTCCTTCATTATAGTTGTGTAATAATTTAATAATAACCAAATTTCTCCCATGGAACTTTTTCATGTCTTCCTGAGAGGAACATGAAACTCTCCCTGATCTACTACACTACCACATGAATTCAGGTGAGAAAATTTTTCTAAACCAGTAAAAAGAAAATGTCCATCGTGGAAACCAAAGGGTATTAATACCTCTCAAAAAGCCTGCTATGCACCTAAAAGAACCATAAAAATTGAACACTGATGTCCTCATAGAAAAATAAACAGTTTGAACATCTGAGGTTGATATCTGGTGAAGTTATAATTCGAGGTCTAGAAGCCCCAGAACCAAGCCAAAAATGTCTAGTTGATGGAGGACACAAAGAAATGGATGCTTAAACACTACGAGCAGTTTGAAAACCAAAACCTAATTCAAACACAATTGCTGTTGTGGAAGACAATAGTTTAAGTTCAACCCGATTGGACAATAATGGGGTCACCTTTTAGTTCTCAATCTCATCTCTAAACACGCAAGAGATACCTCATGAACTTGGAGTGTTCAACAACTAAATGTCCTACAAACTTAATCATATTCTCTAAAAACATGTTGCTATGCAGCAAAATAAAAAAGAATGCATCTTACATGAGCGCCAGCAGAAATGTGGAGATATAATGGCTTTCCACCATCAGGTAAGGCATTTGGCGGCCGGTATTTTCCCCTGCAAAGAGTAATCGCCATGTAAATATTAAGAAAGAAGTAGGAGATAGCACTAATGTCATTTTTAATTCTATTGGTGAACTGCATACCTAGTCGTCACCACAGCTCCAGTGCAATTCTGAATCTGCAAGACAGATGGACATCTTAAATTACTCAAAAGATCCATGGAAAGGGAGGCAAAATTATAAGACATGGAAAAGAAATTAAATCTCATTACCTCTTCTTGTGTTTGACGCTTTGTAAGCTTGTACCGGACAGCAGATTCAGCATCATTTATGACAATTTCCCGAGCAATCATCAAGTCTTCTTGGCCTTTTTGCTAGATAGAAAAAATGTCGTCACCAAACAAGAAATTATTATAGACAGACGCCAAAAACATGGGGGAAAAGAACAGAAGGAAAGAGCGGAGAGAATAGTTCAGCAGGAAAAAAAGTTTCCAGGATCATAGTCGCACAGCAACAATTATAATCTATGAGCTCATAAATTGCCCATGCACAGCAGAATGCATCATAGCTCTAGGACTAAGTTATTCAATGAACACTTCAAAAAGCAGCTCACTTGGTTTAATTTGGGAGCGACCACAGCACTCTGCTGCATCAGTGCAGCTGAATGAAGTGCATGGGATGCCGCAACGCCATTAGCTGGAAGTGAATTCATCAGAAGCCCAGCAGCGACCGGCGCCACCGTCGGAACGGCAGTCCCTGCAAGAGATCCCATGTTGGCCAACGGAAGAACACCGGGCAACGCCAACCCAATCGACGCCAAAGACTCCGCTGGCTGATCCCATTTTCTCTTCTTTCTGCAACACCCGGTAAGGCGCGGCGGAAACATTGAGCATCGCGAGCAACGTCGATAATTCAAATCACTCGCGCACCAAGAACAAAACAGCCAAACCCCATCAAAACACCCAATGGAAGGGAAAGGGTTAAAAAAAAACAAGGGGCGTCCCATTTGCCACCATAAAGCCTCACACCCAGCAAGCCTCACTCTTTTGCCTCCCACGCAATCGAGGGCTAAACTAATTCGAATCATCACGCGATTCTTGATCATGACCCACAAGGTTGTATCGAACAATCTTTAGGCAAACCGATCGAACATGAACAGACTGCAACGGAGCCCCAGCCCGCAGCACACAGCGCGACGGATTACGACCAATTAAGGGTGGGAGTAGTACCTTTGCCTCGTCTGCGATTCGTCGGAAGAAACCCTTGCGGCGCCGGCGCCGTCCGCCGTCATCCCCAACTTCGATGGTCGGATCCCGACCGTGCCGACCTCAGTTTTCGCGAATCGTCTGCTGTCCCACCGTGCGCGAGGTGATGGTGGTCGTTGCGTTTATGGCTCTTGGGATCGAATGAAGGTTCAATTTTAAAAGTATTATTATTAAAATGCGATTATTGAAATAACAAGCTGGAATAGCTCAGTTGGTTAGAGCGTGTGGCTGTTAACCACAAGGTCGGAGGTTCAAGCCCTCCTTCTAGCGTTGGTTGACTCGTTTAATTTTTTTTTACTTCCCTACTTTTATGATCCAGTCCCCTCTTTTTACCAACTGCCAAGGAAAGTTAACGTCATTTTACTAATTTACTAAAAATGGGAGAAAATGAATATACAGTTAAGTTAAGGAAAACTACTATTTACTGTCGAAAGTTACGAACAAAATAAGACCCTTAAAATTTATGACAGCATAATGACAATTGCCGCCTTTTGAAGAAATGGGTTAATACCACAAAAAATCCAAAACTGGTTATCTAAACTAATTTTTTTACCACAAAAAACCCCAAACTGGTACACCCGTGACAAATTTACCTCCGTTAATTTCCGTTAAATTTAATCGTTAAATTGTTAAGTTGGATGACACGTGATAGTTGACGGGTGTGCCAGTGTAGGGTTTTACCCCTCTGTTTGTCACAGATTTTTCAGTTTGTGATTTTTCGTGGTATTAATCCAATTTAATGGAGAGTAAATATGTTACAAGTATACTAATTTGAGGTTTTTGGCGATCAAAAAATAGTTTGGGATAAATTTATAGCAAGTGTACCAGTTTTGGATTTTTGGTGGTAAAAAAATTAATTTGGAATAAATTTATCATAAATATACTAATTTGTGATCTTTCATAATATAAACCCTAAAGAAATTTACGAAAGGATATTTACAGGTAATTTACTATCGTCGTGAGGACAATTAATAACAATAAAGGAAAGTTATCATAAAGAGGTAATTTAATGGGAGGTTACATACCATAGGACCTCAAATTTACGAGAACATAAGGAAAATTACTATCAATCTTTAAGGAAAAGAACAAACAACAAAAGAAAGATACGCCAACACTAAACTTACGAGATAATGGGAAAATTATTGTTCTTGGAGGACTAGGAAGAAATGTTACAACTTAGAGGTAGTTGACTATAATTAAAAAAAATGAAGATTACTATTTTGGGATAATGACATAAACAGTCCCCGAACTTTGATCAAATGTGCAATTTAGTCCTTGAACTTTTAATTTGTTCAATATAGTCCCTAAACTTTAGCCCAATGTTTAATGCAGTATGTGAACTTTTAATTTGTTCAATGTGGTCCCTAGACTTTTTGTACATGTTCAATGTAGTCCCTGTTACATTGAATATTTTCATATAGTTTAGGGACTAAATTGAACATATACCAAAAGTTCAGGATGAGGGACCACATAGTATATTGGGTTAAGTTTAAGGACTACATTGGATAAATTAAAGGTTCAGGGATCACATTGGATCGAAGTTCAGGGACTGTTTGTGTCATTTTCCCTACTATTATTTGAGGTAGTTCATGAACCCCATAGGAAAGTTAATTGGAATGTGACAAATGATAGGACCCTTTAATTTATCGAGCTAGAAAAACATTTTTTTTTATTCTAGTTCTAAGGTGGTGTCGGGCCAGCTTAGAACAATGGATTTTATTTTAGTTCTAAGGTGGTGCAGGGTGTTGCATCTGTATTTTCATTTCGAATAGAAAAATGCAGGTGCAATCCAAATCGTGATACGAAAGAACAATAGATAAAGAGATGATCTCTAGTTTCAACTTCTTGACCGCACAATTTACAAATAGGCTCACATGCAACACCCCCCCGCCTTCTGAGTCGGTCGAGTCAGTAAAACATTATGCAAACACTTCCATAACAGAATAATAACTATTTGAGGAAGAATTGAATGCCATGCCATTTTCCATTTTGACATTGGAATATCATCAAGTCTACAAATTGAAGAAAGTTCTTTATGGGCGCTAACAAGCTCCACAAGCATGTTGTAATAAGATTGACTGTTATTTTCGTCAATAATCATTGGAAAGGAGTGACAATGAATATGCTCATCATGTGAAGAGGCAAGGTAAAGATGATATTCTCTTTATGTGAGACAAGGAGAAGGTAGATTTTGTGTTTCTTAGTGGAAATAGCAACCGATCTCTCAAGATGTTTAGGGATAATTACATTAGAAGTCCTAAAATTTATTACGAAAATACAATTGAGTCCTAAAACTTTCAAAAAGTGCAACTAAGTCCTAAAATTTGTCACGAAAGTGTAATTGAGTCCTAAAACTTTCAAAAAGTGTTCTAAAACTTTTCACGAAAGTGGATAAGAAATTGCAGCTTGTAGATGGAACTAGAAAAGCATATGGAACATTCTTTAGAAGCTTGGTAGGTGGATTGATTCATCTAACGTACACTTGGCTGGATATTGCATTCTCTGTCGGTGTTGTTTTCAGGTTCATGCATAGTCTGACAAGGCATCATCTTGGAGCAACCAAAGAATCTGGCGTCACATTACTAGAACAATCAATTACAGCATTTGGTACAGTCAAGTGCCAAATTTCACATTGAATAGCTTCACGGATATCGACTAGGCAGAATCTTTAGATTATAGAAGAACACTTCAGGGAACATGTTCACTTTGGGATCAGGAGCCCCTCACGGAGAATTCTAAGAAGGAAGCAACCACGACATTGTCATCTTCGTGGCAGCGTATGTCGCTGCAACACTTTCAGCATATCAAGCAGTAAGGTTATGAAGACTGCTTACTGATCTTTGTCAAGAACAGTGGGAAGCAACTGAGATTTTTTGCGACAACTGTTGCGGAAGCCAAGCGATTGAACAGCAAAATTGATAGAACAAGAAAATAGATTAGACACCAGATTTACGTGATTCGGTATGCTTGTTATGTGAAGAGGCAAGGTAAAGATGATATTCTCTTTATGTGAGACAAGGAGAAGGTAGATTTTTGTGTTTCTTAGTGGAAATAGCAACCGAACTCTCAAGATGTTTAGGGATAATTACATTAGAAGTCCTAAAATTTATTATAAAAATACAATTGAGTCCTAAAACTTTCAAAAAGTGCAACTAAGTCCTAAAATTTGTCACGAAAGTGTAATTGAGTCCTAAAACTTTTAAAAAGTGTTCTAAAACTTTTCACGAAAGTGGATAAGAAATTGCAGCTTGTAGATGGAACTAGAAAAGCATATGGGACATTCTTTAGAAGCTTGGTAGGTGGATTGATTCATCTAACGCACACTTGGCTGGATATTGCATTCTCTGTCGGTGTTGTTTCCAGGTTCATGCATAGTCTGACAAGGCATCATCTTGGAGCAGCCAAAGAATCTGGCGTCACATTACTAGAACAATCAATTACAGCATTTGGTACAGTCAAGTGCCAAATTTCACATTGAATAGCTTCACGGATATCGACTGGGCAGAATCTTTAGATTATAGAAGAACACTGAGGGAACATGTTCACTTTGGGATCAGGAGCCCCTCACGGAGAATTCTAAGAAGGAAGCAACCACGACATTGTCATCTTCGAGGCAGCGTATGTCGCTGCAACACTTTCAGCATATCAAGCAGTACGGTTATGAAGACTGCTTACAGATCTTTGTCAAGAACAGTGGGAAGCGACTGAGATTTTTTGCGACAACTATTGCAGAAGCCATGCGATCGAACAACAAAATTGATAGAACAAGAAAATAAATCATACACCAGATTTACGTGGTTCGGTTGTAGTGACCTACGTCCATGGGGAGAGCAGCACGAAATTTCACTATAGATCAATCGATATAAGGGAGATTACAACCACACTCGAGTCACTCAAACACTCTAAGTATTTTCCAAGCCCCAAGTACACCCAATAACTCACGCAGTGTTTAGCCCACAATTCCTCACGAAATATTCTCTCAATCTTGCAAATGAATTATACACAAATCGCTACAAACACTTGAATTCTTGGTGTAATTCCACGAACAAAACCACGAACCCACTGCCAAGCACCCAGCACCTATGGATGATCCACGGCACTCAGAGAGGAAACGGCGCTTCAAGAGGACTGCATCAACAACTGCCACCAAGACTTCGGCACTTCAAGTCTACGTGAAGAAGCATCCCCTGACTTGTATATGCGCATATATATATATTAGTCAATATATACTGCTCTTTGCCAAGTCCCACTAGAAGTTGGACTTCTGTTATTTCCTTTATTGACACATGCTGAAGTAGAGAAGGAAACCAAGTCCACTTTCCTATTTTGTTGACCAACGTTTATACGGAAATTGATTTCCGTAATCTACTGGAACTTTTGTTGGACTCAACGAATCAGCAACTTGAAATCCAAATATCCACTTTCCTTTTTGAAGTCTATTTTTCATGATCAGAATTCCAACATGGCTTTGCACTCCAAAATTGAACACGAAATATAGATTTCCATGGTGGACATCCACAGATATTCAACTTCCAGATTTTCCTTTAATTTATCTTGGGTCGGGTTTCGTCTATTGGGTTCAAACTCGAGACATATTTTAACAACAACAATGCCAAGATCAGAATGACGATGAGTCCGGTTTTCCATGGAAGAACCAAGCATATTGACAGTTGACTTCACTTTATTGGTGACATGGCAGTTGATGAAGTGATTTCGTTGAAGTTTTACAATATGAACGAGCAAGTGGCAGACATCTTCACAAAGTCTCTCCCTTACAATAAGCATGTCTACTCAAGATCGCACCTTGGTGTGAGCAATTTTGGATCAAGACTCACGATGTCTTATCATTCCATTCTTGAGACAGACTTTCAATGCCCTCTCACGCCTCGATTCAACCCAAACATGGCTAATGTTATTCAAATTAATAGTGAATCCCAACAGTAAAGTTTTTCAAAAGAAAGCTCTTGAGGAATAGTAGCAGGTTCATCATATCTCCTCCGAACCGATATGCACAATAACCCATATGTTAGGATGCACGTGTGAATTATGTTAGAGAAATCCCACATTGGATAATTGGTGTGGAGTAAAGCAGTTAATATATCATAGTTGG